CGTCCTCCTCCGCCTTCTGCTCCTCCTCCTCCTCCTCCTCCTCCTCCTCCTCCTCCTCATCCTCTTCCTCCTCCTCCTCCTCCAGCTCCCCGTCCTCCTCCTCTCCTCCTCCTCCTCCTCTTCCTGCTCCTGCTCCTCCTCCTCCTCCTCCTCCTTCTCCTCCTCCTTGTTTCTCCTCGTTCCGCCTCGTTCCTCGTTCCTCACTCCTGGCCCCTCGCTCCGCCTCGTTCCTCGTTCTCCTCCTCCTCCTCCTTCTCCTCCCCCCTGTTCAGAAAAGTTAGGGGCGACTGATTCACAAAGTGTCGGAGATCCACGCCGATCAAAAGAGATCCGCGCAGACCTCCGAAACCATACATTTATGCAGACTTCTCTTCGGCCCCAGGCGGCGCCCAGACCCTGCCATCAAGTGGCCCGACAGCTTAGATGAGGTTAGCAACGCTGTGTTATCGTTTTCGAGATCGACGGTTCGTTTCCCCCGTGTTGGGGTCCGTGTTTTCCCGACTGGGGAGTCTTGTTTGCGCCGCTGCCAGTTCGGTTCCATGTTGTATTGTATTGCCGCTGTTGCTTCTGTGTTGGGCTGCCGTTGCTGAATCCTTGTTGGCCGAAAAACGAAACATCGAAAAAGGGAGAAAACACTCCCCCAGCGTTTGCAGCATCGACGAAGCCCGAGAGCCCCTGGGGTGCTCCGAAGAGGCCAAGAAAAGCTCCCATGGGAGACACCCAGTATAGGGAGCCCACAAAGGATGTACGCGCCTAGCTATGTACATGAACACGGCCCCTTGACCCGCGAGACTGGCCGCGTGATACGAACATTCGCGCAATGCGAACCCTGGAAGCCAGAGTTGATTCATGTACGTGTACGTCCTTCTTTCGCTCCTGACAGTAGGCTCGTTGGATGTCAGAAGACCCAGGACGCCACGTGATGCCCGGGCCGCACCACTTCGCGCGTCGCCCCCCAGTGAGCGACGCGCGCTGCTCTGCGCGCCCTCGCGCCACCCGCGCCCTGGAGAAGGGCACCTTCGCGGCTCGGGCCGCGACGCGCGAGGCGTGACCGTCTTCGCGCCCCCGCGGGTGACCCTCGGCCACGGGGCAATCGACTGTCACCCCCTTGTGGCATCGCTCTCCACCTGCGGAGGCCTCGGTCGGAGGATCGCGCCGCATCGCCCAGGCGCCGCAGCTCCTCGACGTCGGCCAGACGGCCCCTCGGAGCCCGAAGACAATCCCCCGGCAAGACCCGCAAGCGCTTCGAATCTGACGGCCCCCAGGCCACGAGCATCATCGGGGAGGGTTGCGGCGGCGAGGTGCCATAGCCTTCTCTGAGCTGGGCAAAAAATGATACCGGAGAAAAACCAATCATAATCTTTTGGGGGCTTTAGGGCTGTAGGGCTATAAGGCCATAGGGCTAGAAGGCTATGGGGCGATAGGGCCACAGGGCTACAGGGCCATAGGGCTATAGGGCTATTGGGCTGTAGGGTTATGGGGCTGTAGGGCTAGATGGCTATAGGGCTATAGTGCTATAGGGCTATAGGGCTAGAAGGCTATAGGGCTATTAGCGCTATAGGGCTACAGGGCTATAGGGCTATAGGACTATATAGAGCTACTGGGCACCTGGGCACCCGGGCACACGGGCACCAAGGCACCCGGGCACACGGGCACCCGGGCGCCCAGGCACCCGGCACCCGGGCACCCGGGCGTGCGGCGAAAATCGGCGGCAAACCTAACCTAACCATGTGAATCCGCTAGGACCCCTACAGAGGCAAGCTCTGATTGGGGAACAACCCACAAAGGGGCTGTGTTACCCTGCTGAGCATCGTGGAACCGACCCTTATCCCCACCGGCGCGGCCTTGGCCCCGATGGAAGACTCACCCACTTAGGTGGGTATGTATGCCAGTTCCCCACCTACTGCCCTCGTCAAAATTAACCTCAGAACGCGTTACTTGCGAAATACCTGTTGTGTGGGCACCCACTCTCCAATGTCGGTCATCGTGACCTTCCGAGTCGCGCTGGCCCAGACCGCGTTGCGGCCTGCTTCGACATTGAAGAGCGCGGCACTGAACGGGCGAAAAGAGGCGACGTACAAGGGGCGCGTCAGAGGCTTATGTTGTCGAGGGTTTCAGGAGGGTGGGCCGGTGGGGATGGGGGTGGGAGACACCATGGCTCAGTGGGGATCGGGATGAGTGAAACGATGCCGACCTGCGGACGTAGGGGCCACCGACCAGGCCAGCAAGCGTACGATGGCAGCACGCGCCTCGAATGATGGCAGTCGCCACAACTTGCAGGTACAGCCAAGCTGCTGTCATGAGGAGCGCGCTAAACAAGCGCCTGGTGCACAAGGAACACTACAGGAACAAGAGTGGAGGAACCGGAGGAAATTTCGGAAAAGCGAGCCCCTTTCCGAACCCGAACTCCTCAATATCTCAGCGCTTTGGCTGTAGGCGAAAGGCCAACCGCAGCAAAACGTTCAAATGGCGAGGGGGTGAAGCCGACGGCGGGCGTGGCCTGCTTTTGCATCTGGTCACCCTCGGACATGATCTGGTCGATTTGTGCCCTCAACGCAGCTTCGTCTTCCTTCGCCTGGCGAGATCATCCATGGCTTGCTTCAGCCCACAGCCAGAGGAAGGTGGCGGAATGAGTGCGAGCATGAATGGAATGGCCTCCTCCTCTTTCTCCTCCTCTTCCTCCTCATCATCCTCCTCATCCAATCGTCTGCCAATGCGGCCACTCCATATCGGCGGCACAGCTTCCAGCAGTCAGACAGACCCCCCTCCTGCAGCAGTAGGCCACTGTTGTTCTCGTTCTCGTGCCTTCAGCAGTGAGAGAGGGGCGGGGGGGAGCCCGAGGGAGTGGGTGGAGGGAGAGTGCTCTCAGCGGCCTCGGGCCCGCCCCCAATCGGGGGGCACCCTGGGCCGCCTGCGTCCGCCACCTGGTGTGTCTCCAGGGCAGGGCCTCCCTGCTACGGCGCAGCTGCCACGGCAGCGCGCGCCAGGCAGCCTCCGATCGTAAGGGTAAGGGGCCTGCTTCCCTGCTCCCACCCAGGGGTCGCCCAGGTGCTTAAAGCCAGAGACACAGACACCCAAGGATATTATCCTCATCCTTATCCGTACCCTTCTCCTCATCCTCCTCCTCCTCCTCCTCCTCCTCCTCCTCCTCCTCCTCCTCCTCCTCCTCGCAAAAAGGCACGGATATGAGGCAATGGCAGCCCACTCCCAGCCAACGCAAGGGAAAGAGCTTTGTGCTCGAGCTGTTCTTTGTCAGATGCGAGCATGCTCAGCTGCGCCCTGAACGTTCTTCAAATGGCGAGGGGGTGAAGCCGACGGCGGGCGTGGCCTGCTTTTGGATCTGGTCACCCTCGGACATGATCTGGTCGATGTGTGCCCTCAGCGCAGCTTCGTCTTCCTTCGCCTGGCGAGATCATCCATGGTTTCCTCAAGCCCACAGCCAGAGGAAGGTGGCGGAATGAGTGCGAGCATGAATGGAATGGCCTCCTCCTCCTCCTCTTCCTCCTCATCCTCCTCATCATCGTCCTCCTCCTCCTCCTCCTCCTCCTCCTCCTCCTCCTCCTCTTCCTCCTCATCATCCTCCTCATCCAATCGTCTGCCAATGCGGCCACTCCGTATCGGCGGCACAGCTTCCAGCAGTCAGACAGACCCCCCTCCTGCAGCAGTAGGCCACGTTTGTTCTCGTTCTCGTGCCTTCAGCAGTGAGAGAGGGGCGGGGGGGAGCCCGAGGGAGTGGGTGGAGGGAGAGTGCTCTCAGCGGCCTCGGGCCCGCCCCCAATCGGGGGGCACCCTGGGCCGCCTGCGTCCGCCACCTGGTGTGTCTCCAGGGCAGGGCCTCCCTGCTACGGCGCAGCTGCCACGGCAGCGCGCGCCAGACAGCCTCCGATTGCAAGGGTAAGGGTCCTGCTTCCCTGCTCCCACCCAGGGGTCGCCCAGGTGCTTCAAGCCAGAGACACAGACACCCAACGATATTATCCTCATCCTTATCCGTACCCTTCTCCTCATCCTCCTCCTCCTCCTCCTCGCAAAAAGGCACGGATATGAGGCAATGGCAGCCCACTCCCAGCCAACGCAAGGGAAAGAGCCTTGTGCTCGAGCTGTTCTTTGTCAGATGCGAGCATGCTCAGCTGCGCCCTGAACGTATCTTCAAATGGCGAGGGGGGAAAGCCGACGGCGGGCGTGGCCTGCTTTTGGATCCGGTCACCCTCGGACATGATCTGGTCGATTTGTGCCCTCAGCGCAGCTTCGTCTTCCTTCGCCTGGCGAGATCATCCATGGCTCGCTTCAGCCCACAGCCAGAGGAAGGTGGCGGAATGAGTGCGAGCATGAATGGAATGGCCTCCTCCTCTTTCTCCTCCTCTTCCTCCTCATCATCCTCCTCATCCAATCGTCTGCCAATGCGGCCACTCCATATCGGCAGCACAGCTTCCAGCAGTCAGACAGACCCCCCTCCTGCAGCAGTAGGCCACTGTTGTTCTCGTTCTCGTGCCTTCAGCAGTGAGAGAGGGGCGGGGGGGAGCCCGAGGGAGTGGGTGGAGGGAGAGTGCTCTCAGCGGCCTCGGGCCCGCCCCCAATCGGGGGGCACCCTGGGCCGCCTGCGTCCGCCACCTGGTGTGTCTCCAGGGCAGGCCTCCCTGCTACGGCGCAGCTGCCACGGCAGCGCGCGCCAGGCAGCCTCCGATCGTAAGGGTAAGGGGCCTGCTTCCATGCTCCCACCCAGGGGTCGCCCAGGTGTTTGAAGCCAGAGACACAGACACCCAAGGATATTATCCTCATCCTTATCCGTACCCTTCTCCTCCTCCTCCTCCTCCTCCTCCTCCTCCTCCTCCTCCTCCTCCTCCTCCTCGCAAAAAGGCACGGATATGAGGCAATGGCAGCCCACTCCCAGCCAACGCAAGGGAAAGAGCCTTGTGCTCGAGCTGTTCTTTGTCAGATGCGAGCATGCTCAGCTGCGCCCTGAACGTTCTCCAAATGGCGAGGGGGTGAAGCCGACGGCGGGCGTGGCCTGCTTTTGGATCTGGTCACCCTCGGACATGATCTGGTCGATGTGTGCCCTCAGCGCAGCTTCGTCTTCCTTCGCCTGGCGAGATCATCCATGGTTTCCTCAAGCCCACAGCCAGAGGAAGGTGGCGGAATGAGTGCGAGCATGAATGGAATGGCCTCCTCCTCCTCCTCTTCCTCCTCATCCTCCTCATCATCGTCCTCCTCCTCCTCCTCCTCCTCCTCCTCCTCCTCCTCCTCTTCCTCCTCATCATCCTCCTCATCCAATCGTCTGCCAATGCGGCCACTCCGTATCGGCGGCACAGCTTCCAGCAGTCAGACAGACCCCCCTCCTGCAGCAGTAGGCCACGTTTGTTCTCGTTCTCGTGCCTTCAGCAGTGAGAGAGGGGCGGGGGGGAGCCCGAGGGAGTGGGTGGAGGGAGAGTGCTCTCAGCGGCCTCGGGCCCGCCCCCAATCGGGGGGCACCCTGGGCCGCCTGCGTCCGCCACATAGTGTGTCTCCAGGGCAGGGTGTACCTGCTACGGCGCAGCTGCCACGGCAGCGCGCGCCAGACAGCCTCCGATTGCAAGGGTAAGGGTCCTGCTTCCATGCTCCCACCCAGGGGTCGCCCAGGTGTTTGAAGCCAGAGACACATACCCCCAACGGCCTTATCCTCATCCTTATCCTTACCTTATCCTCGTCCTCCTCCTCCTCCTCCTCCTCCTCCTCCTCCTCCTTCTCCTCCTCCTCCTCATCCTCCTTCTCCTCCCTCTCATCCTCCCCTTCCTCCTCCTCCTCCTCCTCCTCCTCCTCCTCCTCCTCCTCCTCCTCCTCCTCCCTCCTCCTCCTCCTCCGCCTCCTCCTCCTCCTTTTCCTCCTCCTCCTCCTCCTCCTCCTCATCCATCCTCCTCCTCCTCCTCCTCCGCCTCCTCCTCCTCCTCCTCCTCCTCCGCCTCCTCCTCCTCCTCCTCTCCTCCTCCTCCTCCTCCTCCTCCTCCTCCTCCTCCTCCTCCTCCTCCTCCTCCTCCTCCTCCTCCTCCGTCTCCTCCTCGCAAAAAGGCGCCCACTCCCAGCCAACGCAAGGGAAGGAGCCTTGTGCTCGAGCTGTTCTTTGTCAGATGCGAGCATGCTCAGCTGCGCCCTGAACATATCTCCGTCTGCTTCCCTGGCCTGGGGAGGACGAGATTGGGGGGGAGGACGCAAACAAGGAGGAGCAGGACAAGGAAGTGCAGGAAGAGGGGGAAAGGGAGGAGAGAGAAGAAGCGGAGAGGAGGAGGAGGAGGAGGGAAATGAGGATGTGGGAAATTATAGAACAAGCGTGTGCAGTGTGAAGCATCACCCTGGCGAAGGAGACGGGCCGGGACTCTGTGAAATGCTCCCTCTGCCGGCGCGGGGCGTCGTGTGTGTGTGTGCTTGTGCGCCTGTGGAGGGTTGTCCCTCCCTGGGCCTAGCTGTTCCCAGAGCGCTTCGGCCCTTACTCTCTCCCACGCGAATAGGAAGGGGGAGGAAGGATTGGGGAAAGATGAGTCGGAGGAGGAAAGGGCAGGAGACAAGAGAGAATGGAAATGGAAATGTCATTTCACTAACTAAAAAAAGAACCCTGCACCAGGGAGGGAGACTTCCGAATGGGCCCTCGACGAGCCTGTTTCTCTCTCGGCCTTAGTGGGGACGTTCGACCAAAATCCAGATCGGATCCCCACACACACACACACACACACACACACACACACACACACAAACACACACACACACGTGCGCCTGTGTAAAATGCATGTACCTATAGACCTGAACATATATATATATATATGTATATATACGCATATCGATAAATTTGCATACACGTATATAGATGTGCATGCACGTATAAAATGCGTTATAAATACATGTGCATATATATATATACATATATATACATACATATATATATAATCATAGACGTATGCATCTACGTATACATAGGCATATAAGTATACACATACAAAAACCATACATATACACAAGCATGTACAAAACAAAAGGCATACATGTATACATAAATATACACATACACAGAACCATATACATATATATATACAGGTACAGCTGCATACATATATAAATGTACACGCTTAAACATGCATAAACACTGACATATTTAAACATGCATATACAGGCATATACATAGACACATATATGTACGTATAGATGTATACATAAGTCTATATATGTACATATCCATGTACATTGGACATGTACAAATACATACATACATGAATATGCACACAGAGATATACACACGTACATATACACATGCATAAACATAGTCATATACAGATACACAAACAAAAATACCTAGACATATACATATGCATGTATATAACCATAAACATGAACATAGGCATTTACATAAATTTAGTTGTGTGCGTAAATATACATATATATAAGTATATAAGTATATAAGTATATAAGTGTATATATATATGGATTCCTTCTCTGTCGGTACGGCCTTCAAAGTGCCCTGCTTGTGTTGATTATTGGCACGCGCATGGCTACACCACCGCATAATCCGAAATAGCCACAGCTTAAGCTTCGCGTGGAAACAGGGACTTGCCTTCCAAAGGCCTACGGTCGCCAAGGTCGCGGCCCCGAAACCACTGACACAACTACGGCCACTATGATCGAGGACGTGGGACGCATTGGAATTAGCTACAACGACTGCGCAGGAGGCGGCGGAAGGGGGGGGGGGAGTGGGTGATCACCTCTTCGCCTGGGCGCCTCACCCGCCTGAGTACAATCCAGCGCAGCACGCAGTAGCCGACGCAAAAAACTGCCGCTCAATTCGTACACCACGCAATCGAACGTCAGCGCCCAGCCAAACACGAAATGCAGCATGGCGCACTATCTCGTCCATCACATGATTGCCTATAACCATCCACCTGGCAGCCGCTCCACCCGCGATCACAGAACCGTCCAGGTGTGAATTCGGCATTCACGAAGTTGACAGCGATCAACGCTGGGCCCGTGTCGCGCAGGAGTATCCCGATCCTGGCCCAGACGTCTGCGTCGGCCCCAGACAGGCTGAAGCGCCCTAGGGCCACCCAGCCCTTGAAGACTCCTTCACACTCCGCGATGTACGTCGCGCGCCCGTTCGAAGTGGGAACTGCCAACCGCGCAAAGCCTGAAGCTCGCCCCGAATCACCACTTGGCAAAGTCCCGCCAAGCCCCAAAAATTGCATAGGTCTGGGCCGGCTCGAAATCGCAAGCAACCGCAATGCCCACTGCAACACGCCTGACTCGGGGATCCATAGCGTCGGGGACACCACTTGCGTCGCCGAAAACACATCGGCCCCTGCTCGGCCCCGCAAGGGAGGGGGGGGGGGGGGGGCAATCCCGAACCACGCCATCGTCGCGACCTATGAAAGTCCCATACATTCTGAGCCTCCGGGGGCGGCACGTCGGTCCATCGTCGAGGAATCAGCGATCGATGCCACAAGCATGAAATGAAAAATGATCCCGCTGGTTTGAGGCCACCTGTAGAAGGCCGTCGTTTTCGACGATGATGTGAAGAATCCTGTGATGACACGGCCAGTAACGATGATGTGAAGAATCCTTCTGCTCGCCACCACAACGATCACACAAGTCAGGTAGATGCTCGGAAGCCTGAGCTGCTCGACCTTTCTCGCCTTCGGCCGCGCCCCTCTGAATCGGACCAGCTAGACGTCGACCAAGCTCGGGAATGGTCTGCAACTGCTGCAAGAGCTTGCGCCAGCAGCAACTGCCCGCGCCCCCCTGAAGCCCCATCCCCGTCGCGGCGCTGGCTCGCGCTCATCGAAAGTTCGACCGTCGCTGCCGTTTCCAAGACGGCAAAGAACCCAATGAAACCGGAGACTTGCATCGCCTCAACGCAGGTGAAATTGACGTCGGTAAGCCTTCACGAACAGCTGCCAGGAGGGCCCCAAGCTGAGAGGGGCTTCGGCACCCAGCCAGGGCCCAACAAATTGCAGATGATGGCGGACATGGGCCAGCGAAGGCGCCTGGACCTCTGCGCAAACTGCACCCCCTCGAACTTCTGTCGTAGCTTGGGCCAAGACCGAGCAATCCCTGCCCTCGTCTCTTGTCGCGCGCGCCACTGTTGAACCCAAAGAAAGAACCATGCATGAACCGCGCAGCGGGGCCCTGCCCATGAGCGCCAAGGTCCAATCAGGCCGCGAGGCCTCGGCCCCTGGCGCGAGCGGCGCAGGCCGCGCCCAGCCCGCGCCTATAATTGACCAATTCCTTGCCTAGAACTCCGAGGGGTCGGTAGCCGCAGCCCCCGGCCGCCCGCGCGCACCGGCGCTCCGAACGCGAAGTGAGACGGGCAGGCCGGATCGCGCGAGCGCACTGGACCACCTTCCTGCGCCGAATGAGATGCCCAGCGTTGCGCCCCCCCATCTGCTGACGAACGCGCCGCCTGCCAGCTCCGGGGTCGACCCCGAAGCGAGACGCAGCCGTGACAACTGCCCCCCTCCAAGGCAGAGCCCGCGCGCCCTTGGCCCGGCCAGCCTCGGAGCACATGGCGACCGACCTGGCTGACCTGAGGCCCTGAATCTTCAAGCCACGAGCCGCGCATGCAACACGCTCGATGGTGCCCCTCTTGACCTGAGACTCTGAACCCTTCGCGGTCTGGGAGGTCGTCAATCCAGAGCCCGCGACGGCACCTGACGCTGGCGGCGCAGATTTTCGCGAATCTAGCGCCAGATCGCAGGCCCTGGAATATGCGCAACGTTTGCTCGAAAGCCCTCGAAAAGATCCAATATGCTGAACAACCGCGCGCGGGGATTGAGCCGCTCGCCGCCCTGGAAAGCTCGAACCGAAACACGCTGTCACAATGGCCATCGAAGTCCACAACGGCATGAGCACACAATGCGTCCAACACCCCAGCTACCCCCTCATCAACGACCCTCCGAAAAGCCTCTTGGAGAAATGAACTGCCGCGGAAAGCAGCGCCCCAGCGGGGGTCGAGGCGGAGCGCCCGGGCCCTCGTGCGCGGCTCGCGAACCATGCCCCACCCCCCATCCCCCCATCATTGAAATCAATCCGATAACGCAGTCGCCAGATACTTTCTTGGGAACGAGGCGACCCGCGACATGCATAGTCTGCGCCGACCACGCGAGGGAACTCCATCGAATTGAAGAAGCCAGCCAACTCAGCCAGTCCAGCATAGGGGGGCCTTAACAATATCACGCGGCACGAGGCGATCAACCCCACGGCCCACTTTGTGCCCCATGGCCCGAAGGGCTCTCCGTGAGTCCCCGATCGATATCAAGGGAGGTTCTGGGCCAGCTCGGAGGGCCCCCCGAATCGCGCCAGAAACGCACCCAAGAACTTCGCTGGGGTCGGTGACAGGCGGAGCCCATGTGTCGGGCAATTTGGTAGGTGGGAAGCCGATTATGTCCTAATGCGATACTGGATGTCGGGGCCGTTGGATATCAAGCACGGGAACTAGATCCTGCCAAGTGGGTCGACGCAACGCCCCCGAGGGCGCTCTGGACGTTGCCCAATCCTGAAGTTCCCGAGCGAATTTGCCTAGGGTTCGACGCTGACTGCGCCCCATGACCTCGCCGGAGCTCCACGCTGACATCCCTGGGGACCTGGGCAGAGCAGGAGACGATCGATGAAAACGCAATCAACCATTCAGACCACGGCGGCCCCACGCCATCACTGCGACGCGCGAACTTGGCCAGGCCCGTCTCCAAGGAGCCGCGCACATTCCATTTCCGATCGCCGCTGCCGCGCCCGACCGCTGCCCTGAAGACAGCGGCGGCGGAGCGGGAACACCACCACGCGCAACCGCGCCCACCATCCTGCATCTGAATCCCTCGACGGCGCCACCCGACACTTGCAAGAGACGCGGACCTCTCGAACGACAAACGCGGGCACCTCGGCACATCGGGGCCCCCAGGGGCCCTCAGAATCGCGAGGCGAACCAGCGGCGCCCTCGAATGCCGCGACTCAAGACGCGCACATGCCACAGACCAGGATGGCGCGCTTGGGGTTCGCCTTGAAAACCAAGGAGCCCAATGAAAAGACAGTGGAAAGTACAGAAACCTACAGAGGACCTGTGGGCCCCCCAAGTAGCTGCAGGATTGCACGACCAGGCTAAACCTCACCTCGGGGCCCAGGGGGCGGGGTCGCATCCGAATGAGGCCCCG